CTTTTTGCCAAGATTCAAGTACCAGATGGAGCTTGATTTGCCCCATGCAAGGTCTAAATAGCCTAAGTGCTAGTTGTCTTTACGTGAACAGCACCAACACCAGGTGTCTGCTTCCCATAGCCTACAACTCTATCAAAATTCATACTGATTATTTTTTTCTCCTGACTATCCCTTCAATACTAAATGCATCTCCGCAAAAAATAACATCATTCCTTATTTGTTAATTTTACAACTCTTTGTGTCAAGAATTAAATTATTATTATGCTATTCTAATTTATATTACTATGTGTTTATATAAACAGAAATTAAGATTTTTTTTTACTATATCACATAATTTTAAAAAATTAAAAAGACTTTTTACTCACAAGAATAAACAAAGCAGTACACGTAACACCCCAAATTTGAAACAAGCTCGAACCTTAATACATCCTCCGGCGCAACGATATGGTTTCAAGTCACCATCAACAGTCCCGTGCATTTGCTCGTCGCGGCCTCTTATTATATAATATAAACACTGTGCATCAAACCATTCATCAACACTCATACTCGTGCGTGTTCGCGTCACTTTCCAAACTTTTTAACCTTTTCAGCTTTATCAGGCCTTTTGATGTATGCGCTTGGGTCACTACATTTTATTTTATTTTTTGTTCTAATTTGTTGTCAAAATTTCTCTTGTTTCAGTTTCATGCGTTCCCATTTACATAATCTGGCATATCTGATATATTGTGATAGAGTTATTCTTATATTACATCAAATATGACAATTACAAAATAGAAATGAATAAAAGAACAAGGGCTAAGAATTAAAAAAAAAGAAGCCATTTTCTTCATTTCCACTATTGAGATGCACCTCTTTTTTTTTATCCTGTATTTTTCAAAATTTTCATTTTAGATATGAAACTTATTTCGCTTATATTTCTCTGCAATTAAAAAAGATGAGATAAACAAAAAGCTCTCGGCTAGCTTGCCAAAACATCGCCAATCTTTGTGTCATGTTCTGCTTTTGATGCCACCTGTCCACTTCAGTTGATCAGAAATCCTGGTTGTTCTGGTCCCCTGTTGACTTGTCAAAGTTTTGTTATTACTTTTTCAGCAGCTACGCGTTTGATTTCGAATGCTTGCACCTTTTATATATATATATATATATATATATATATTAATATGATTGTTTTGATGAGCACATATATATTTTAATTAATTTTATAAATTATAAAATTAATATTCATATAAATCTTTAATAACTCTAAAAAAAAATCAGGAATATAAGACAGGGAATATAAAACCTCACCAGTTAACCTCATCAGAACTTTGCCTTTCGTATTGATTTATGATACTACTGCAGGGACGCCTGCTCCAGCAGAGGAGAAACGGCTTTCTACACGGGGAGCTGACGCACTTGATGACTTGGTGCTTGACCTGAAACATGTCACAGATGCACTTAAGAAGGTACGTAGATAAATTCGCATAGATTGCATTTTAGCTTCCTCAGTTTTTATATATACGTACCGTATAGAAAAAGTTCCCTTTGAGTACTGAACTCATGGAGCATTTTCTTAAATTTAATCAAATCCAGAATAATCTCTCCACTCTCGTGTTTATTTTGTTTTTGGCAGGAGGATGAGAGATGAAGGAAGGGAAGGATGAAAGAAAGCGCAAATATAATGTTAAATGAGACGATGAGGTATGTTTTAACCTTCTACCATGATTATTTTTACCGCTGGATTTATTGTCATTCGACCATATTTGTAAGTTTTCTGATTCCATTTTCAGGTCACCGTCGAGGAGATAGGGGCATAACGGATGAAAAAGATACATCGCCATACCCAGTGAAAGATTTTTTGCACTAATAGACGCGTTAGGTTTTAGTGGGTACCAGTTTCAGTGGGTGTTTGGTATTGTAACTATAAATAAGATTTATTACAGTTATAATTTTTTTATATTTGATTATGTTTCTACTATAAATTTTTTAATGATATACAAAAAACAGTGATGGAAAAGTAGATGAACAGTGAAGCAAAAAGTAGATGAACATTAAAGCATGGCTCCACCGTCTATCCATTTTCTTTAACAAATATTCTATATGGAATGAACCGGTCTGGTTCAAAACTAAGAATGCATTGTATCAGGACTAAACTAGTAAAATAAATTTTTTATTTTTAATTATATTTTATTTAAAAATTTAATGTTAAATATTATTTAATAATTACATAAATTAGATAAAAATCATTTGATGATACTGCATTTACAGAATTTGATCGCAATTTTAATTTTATTCCTAATTATATTGTACCTGATGGTATTGTACTCTTAAAAAAATTATGAAAACTGTAGTTCTTGTCAAATATATTTCATACATGATGAAATTATAGATAGTTTAATGAAATAATAAAAAATATTTTATATAAAATATTATTTATTTTTTAATGTAATAATAATAATTAAATCTATAATATTTAAATTAAAAATCACCAATATTAATATATATTTTTTAAAATTATTTTATAATCTCAATTTCAAAAATATTCTTAATCAAATATATTAAATAATTTTAAGTATAATAAAACATCTATAAAATCAAATCAACTTTAATTAAAAATATTTTTTATAAAATATTTTTTTTCAAATAACAACTATAATCTTACCATTTCCATCATCATGAAGGTTGAGCTTGTTTTGTCTTGCAGCTGGTTGCTGTAATAACGAACTTGTTTTGTCTTGCAGCTGGTTGCTGTAGTCTTGAAATGCTTAATTGAAATTGTTGGTAACGAACTTCAGATTTCAGAGTGTTGCATGAAACTCTAATTGTATTTTTAAAAGTATGTAAATATATTAGACCACTGGGTGAAAAAGTTTAGTTTACAGTATAAAAAATATCTAGATTGTATACATATTTAAATATTTAAAAATAAAATTTAAAATAAAAATGTTTTCAACGTAGATATAATAAAAAATAATATTAGTACACATATATTCAAGCTTCTATTGTATAAAATCAAAGTTTTAATATATATATTAATAATAAAAATAACTATATTTAAATTAAAACAAATAAGGATATTCATTTATTGAAGCACTTTAAAATATTATGACTTTTATTGTTGTCAAAAATAAATAATTTATTTTTAAAATTTTATTGGTCCTCACTCGTACAATTATAATATTTGTAATATGTTTTCCAAGATTTTAACATTATTATTTTACTTTAGATATATTTTAAAATTAAGATTTTTAAACTAAAATAAAAGGATTGAATTATCTCTTAACACATAGTATGAGCTCTGGATTTCTAAGGGGGAAATCAAAGCATAAAAAAAATTTAATAATTTAAAATGAGGTAAGTAAGAGTGTTAAAAAATAATTATTAATCTCTTTATTCTCCCTTTTTTATAATGGATTCTGAAAAATAAAAATTGAAAAAATTAATTTTTACATTATCAATATTTAATTAGCTATTATAAATTAAGAATTAAATATAAATATAATGATCATAAAATTACATTTTTTAAGTTGAGAAAATTATTTATATTTATGAAAAAAAATTATTAATATTCATGGTGGAACTACACAAATAATGGGCCGACCCAAGTGTATATTTCAATTAGAACAAAAAAACTTTACTAACAAAAATAGTTGGTAAATATTATTTTACAAATCCACATTCACTTAAAAGTCGCTTTGCCTAAGAAATCTTACTTTTAAAATTTTTGATGTTTTTAGGCTAAATTTTAATTTTTTTAACTATCTATTTTATAAACACTAGTAAAGTTTTGTTGGTAAAATTCTTTAGATGATTTTTTATTTAACCAAAACATGTCAATTAAAAAAAAATTAACATTAATTTTTTATTTATTTAAATTAAATTAAAATCAAGTATATATTGAATATTAAATTCAATAAAATTTTAGCCTTAAACCGACTCTACTTTTAATTTAACCTCAAATATATTATTTAAACAAAATTTTAACTGTAATTACCAAACACACCGGTATTATTGTGTGTCAGAATAAATGAAGAGTGCTGCATTGCTCCTGTAGCAGAGTTTGTGTCGATGAACTGCTCTCTTTTCTGGTCTTTTGGTTCAGATATTTTAGGGACTGATAGTTTAACTTTAGAATAACTAATATAACAAGAACGGCTATTTAACGACAGCGACTATGTAGCAACACCACGTTCCCGTATGTGCATGTACCTTGCCTGCGTGAAGCGACTTTCAGGCGATATTTCATTTGTTTTAACTGCAATAGCTTTAATAGAGAGAAATTATAAACTATTTGAAGGTATTTGAAATAAGTTTTTTACTCACTCCTTGATGACAGAATTCTGCGACTCCAGACACAGAAATCAAATGTCCTGTAACTTCCAAAGAATTCGCATAAAGTGTTTTTGGAATCGCTTGGGTGATGTCCTGATTCCTAACTCGATCGAATTCCTGAGAGAATGAAGTTTGAATGAAAGAATTTCTTTAAACAAAATCAACCAAAGCAGGAAAAAGTCCTGCATACAAGAGATGTAAAACCCCGAAGGCAAGCCAGCTGAAAATTTAATCCTGCAACTGGTTAGTGTTCCCTCCATTCTAACTGAACAGATTGGAAAGTTCTCTGAACGATGCTACTTTTATTTGATGAAATAGCACTTTACAATCTATGATTCCTCTCCTTGCAAACAAAGCAGATGAAGGAGCGCCATGCAATTCTCATAACAATGGACTGGAAAGACTTCTTCCGCAGATTCTATTTTGCCAAACAAAACTCATAGTTCCAATCCCTCTGTTACTGCTGCACATTTGCAGGATGTGCTGCGAAATTCTTTTGGGAACCAAACAGATGAGAAATAAATGATCTATGTCTTTAAATACACACATGTACATATATGTATGTATATTTATATTTAGTTTTCTAATCTTTCACTTATCCCAGCCTTTGGGAATCGTTGTCTAAGAAAGAAGAAAAAAAGGAGAAAAATATGGTACAATAAGATCTTCAATCTGCTACAAATAGAAAGCAAAATCAGAAGTTTTGTGCCTCAAACCAATTGAATACACAATACAATTCAAAGAAGACGCATAATGAATCCCACACAAACTATTTTCCTATCCATAATCACACCACTCTGCAGAACGTGTCTGCAATTACAAAAGAAAACAAGAATCTACTATTATGTACCTAAGTACGTCTAAGATCTGGTTCTCGCCATCAAATTTTCCCTGTTATTCACACTTTCACGCTTTGTTTTGAGAAATAGTATGAAATACCAACATAAAAATAAAGAATAAAATGACTCATGATCTCTAGCCACTCCTAGCCAACCTCTCCTGATATTCAAGAATTGATTTCTCCTTTTCAAGCTTAATCTCTTCACGAAATTTGCATATAAATTCTTCAGCCCTCTCATCCACTGGCCGCAGCTGCGGTGATCTAGCAACAACTTCTCTCCATGCATCTTCAATGCTATACACGCTCTTCTTCCTTGCCTTGTCTTCATTTATTGGGACAACTTTCTCAACAGTCACAGCTTTACCTCCACTACTTGTTTCTTCATGTGCGTGGAAATGCCTGGCAGACATCAAGCTTGGTTCTGAGACATAGAGGTTGTCTATGTATATCGGCGGTAAGGTGTTATGAAGCAGAGTTTTATTGCTGTAATGATGGTTACACTGGCGGCTGCGGCCTCTTGGTTTTGTTATGGAACGTTTCTTGAAGGGAAGAAAGAGACGGCTAGAGCAATAAGCGAGGAGGCGATCGGTGCAGGTTTGGATGACCTTGACCGCTTTAGAAAGGTTGAGATCATGGAGTTTTGATTGCAGTGTCTTGGCGAAGCGTTTCAATGCCTTCTTGGCTGGTTGAAGCTTCTTTGCAAGTCTTGGGCGGGACATCATTGAGTGTTGAAATCCCTCAGCTACGTGCACTTATGGTCTGCTATGACAAAGGAGATCCTGCTAGCAGAAGGAGATTTATAAGGAAGGCTTTACTCAGGTGAACAGAAATTCGGTATGGTGCATTGGTGTTTATGGAGCGAGGCTTGTGTATTTCTTATATATTGCTCTAGTTTCTCTATTTATTGTGGTGCAAAAATGACACCCCTCAATCAAGGATGCTGAAAGGATTAACAAGACACAGATGGCTTTGGTAGGGATGATGCCAAGAAATTGGACTTGGAAAATGCACGTAATTTCTTAGTCGAGTGAGTCTTCAACTTTCGGCAGTCTTGGTGGCCCTATTGGGAGCAATCTTGGGTCCTAAGACTACCAAGAGATGACTTAAAGCTGGAGTCCTGTAAAAACTCCTTTTTTTTAGTGCAATGCCACTTCAATGTGGGCTCCGACGCCATTATTGTAATATAAAGTGGATAATTTCGTTGTCGATGGAAATAAAAAAAGGTGATTGCCTTGTAAGATCTGCTAAACATGTTTCTTAAGGGTATCATGGTCTCATTTCGGAGCATACTATAGAGAGAATTTTTATTTTTATTTTTTAGAAATATTTATTTATTTATTACAAGGCAAGTTCATGGGGTGAATTATTTACGGATTATTGGTTCCGTCAACGTTGGACTGTATATATAACAAACAATAAAAATATAAATTTTTTATTGGCTTGAGGACCATTTTCAGAAATGCGGTTTGTTGTTAATATTTTTTTTCATGTATTAATATAAAAAAAATTTAAATATAATTTTAAATAAAAAAACATTAAAAAATAACTATATAAATATTATAGTAATGCTAGCAATTTAAAGTATTGATAATTTATATGATTGTTGATGGAGAAACGAATACCACCGCGTTGGAATCCGACTTTGGGTGTCCAATTGTATTTGAATTTGAATAATATTGTTGTATTCTCGTTCGACATTCGAATGAACCTAACATGGTTTTGCTAGACGTGGTCCGGCCATGCGAGGATTTCATTTCTCTCCCCTTTCCCGTACAATTTGCGAGGGCATACACTTGTATTTGAATTTGAACCATGCGAGGATTTCATTTCTGTCCCCTTTCCCGTACAATTTGCGAGGGCATGGCAAGGCGCGCGCACGCACGCTATTCTTTCCAACTTGTAAAGATTGTAAGCTCACTTTTTCATTTTAATTTTAATAATTTTTGCTAGGGAAAGGCAATGGCCATTATCTCCCTAGCTTGCTTTCCAGCTTCTAGGACTCTTCAGGGAACAATTTAGACCTAAAACGAGGACGTATTATAACGGAAATTCACACACGGGGTGCTCTCAGCAGTATGCTTTCTTTGCATGCCTGCCATCCTATTGAGTGCATAACACAAAATGTGTCGTCAAGCAATGGACAGGCACTAATTTGTTGGACTTGTATGACTGTATTAGTAGAAACGACCTGTCGTCAATAGTTTCAAATCAATGACACGTCATGTTAGGCTGTCCAGTGCGTTTAACTAGTGACTTGGATTTGATTATTGAAATTATTATTTTTTTATATTTTTATTATTATTTTAATGAATTGATTAAAAAATAAGTTTTAAGAAATAAAAAATAGTATTTATATATATTTTTTAAAATAAAAAATCATTTTAAAAAATAACAACTACAATAATAACTAATACCATCTATTAATCTTGAGTGGGTGAGTTTGAGGCTTAGAGAGTTCATGCTTGCTAATTAAATTTGAATACACGCGCATACACATACGTAATAAATGCCAAGAACGAATAGAATTGTCGTTGCTTGGCTGGACGCCTACCTAAATGAAGAAACACAAGAAAGAAAAAAAGGCCCAAGAAAAACCACAAATCTCTCGGAATCTTCCCCTGAGTCAATAAAGTTATCGATATTTTCCTCCCCTTTGATTCCCAAGAGCAGCTCCAACGGAAGAGGCAAATGAAAAGCTATATGCTTTTTGCCATTTATTTCTTTCTTGTTCATATCCCAACTAAGGAGCTAAATAAATAATTATTTTAGTTATTTATTTTTTTAATAGTCATTTCTACATTTAACTGTCGAAATGGTCAAAATAATAGCTGTTGGCCAACAATTTTTTTTTTTAAATATAGAAAAAATCTTCTATAAATATATGAAGAAAAAACTTGTAGTTTTAAATTTTTGTATTGTGCCTCATCCTTCTCTCAAATTTAAAAAAAAAACAAGAATCAATTATTCTCCGGTTAATTATTAACATCGGTTGCGTTAATTAGTTGAAATTAAAAAGTATGCTTGTTTAAAAGCTTTTTCTATTTTCTTTTTTATATCTCTTGATTTTTTAGACCTTTTGTTGTTAATTTAATATTTGTGATGAGTTTTATTTCTTTATTCTTTGATGTTTTTAATATGGATTAAGGAAGACAATTTATATTTATGTTGTTATCTTTGATAAAATTGAGAGGAATTAATAATGGTAGTTGATATTGATAAAAAGATAGAGTTACATATTTAAAATTTATTTTTGATTGTCTGTTTTAATTTGAGGTTAATTATATTTTATCTTTTTGAAAATGCAATTAAACTAGTATATCGATT